ATATTCTTCAATGGACAGTAAAACATTATTAGAAGTCTCTGTTAATAAAATATAAAAAAATGAGCTTTCAACAGCTTCACTGATTATGCAAAGATTTTTTTTGTTTTAAGAGCAGCTGGGGAAAACGTTTCTAATATGTAAATATGTTCTCAAAAGTGTTTTGCCACTAGGTTAAAGGCTGTGCTCATTCTCTCCAAAATGCCAGGCATATCTTTGAGTGTGAGAAGAAAATTAAAAAAAGAAACAGGCATACATTCCAACAAAACCATCCAACAACATAGACCTTTCTGAGAGAACTATTACTGTAGTAGCTCAAACAATTAATTTGTTTTAAATTGTATAATTAATACAAAATAAGAAGTAAATATTTTTAAAATTAAAAAGAAGTAATCAGTGCATAGGTTTTAATATTATTATCAAAAAGTTGAAAGGCCAGCGTACACAAGTCACCATTAGTTTGAGTGCCAGCATTCCCTTTACAGTAGAAATTGAAATAATAACATGAAGTATTAGGAATTCAGTACCGACAATAGGCCCTACAATTTGAGAATTTTCCCCTCTGACCTGCAATTCTGCTTGTAAGTAAAGCTATTGTTTCTGTCCTAACTCTTTGCATTCCTCCCAAGTTAGCTCGACTAACATTTCAGTCTGCTAGAAAAGATCTAAAAACAAAAGAAAGAAAAAAAAACCCCAACTTTCTTCAAGGACAGACTACAGAAACTATTGGAGGTTTTTAAGCCTGTACCTCCTCACATTCACAACTCAGAAATAGCAAGATGAATATTTTGTTTCACAGTTTTCTGCCAATTTGCTCCTTTCTGATTCAGTGCAGCTTTTGCCTGCCTCAGGAAAGCCTGTTTCTAGACTTCCTGTGTTGTTTCACAGCCCTAAGAGGATCAGCGTAACAACAACAGCAATTTAGCACTGTAAATTTGTTTTAATTTCATGTCCAGAAATATTTCTGTTATAGAAATCCTATTTTAGCTTGCTGGTTTATATGATAATTCTGAAAGTCCAGTGGAGAATGCAATAACAATGAAGATAATGGCATTCCATTTTTTCACCTATTTAAAATACAAGTCTTTTCCAGGGCTGTATGGGTTCTTCATAACTCACAAGAGTTGAAAATTATTCGCAATTATTTTTATTATTACTATTAATAGAATTCTACCCACAAGGAGAAAAGGTATTTATTTATACCTTTATCTTCTGCATTGCTAGCAGTTGAATATTTAGAAATATCTAGAAGATAAAAATATAATTTACATATAACTAGGAAAAAAAAGCATTTGGAGGTGCTAATTTATACAAGAATCAAACAAAAGGCAATTAGACTCCAGCATGCAACCACTTCAAGGGATGATTGCCTGCTCTAACAAGTCATCTTTTACCTGTCACAGCAGACAGAAGAGAAGCACTTCAGGCCACACCATGACAGACAGTGGTTGCAGTGACAAACTGTCGTATTCCAACAGGGCCTCAGGTAACTCATTCCTGACTCTCCCATGTAGCAGGTTACCATAATCTCCTCCAGAAGGCTGTTGCTCAAAGCTGGCTGGCAAATGGTTTATCACACCAACCAACTTCAACTAGCAAGTTGGATCACAAAAGAAAAAGCAAGTCTGTGGTATGATCAACCACTGGCAGCACTAAGATCTTAATTTGATTAGGCAGAGGGATGATGACCTGGGAAGAGTAACATTTAAAGGTTTCAGGAAGGACCAACATCTGTGACTAGAAGACAGTTGAGGGGGGAGAGAGTTGTTTCAAGAGCCCCACAAGTTTGACAGAAGATTTTACAAAGAAAGTTGAAAAACAGAAATCGATGGAAATTTTTACCTTTGTAAGTTTCCTTCCTGACCAAATCTGGAGCCCATTATAACCCAGGGTTTCTGAATAAGAAATGCCAGTCAGACATTTATGTAGCAAGTCTCTTGATAACATTTGATAGCACTTGTCCAACTGTCAGAGCCCTGTCTCCAGCTGTAGCTAATCCGAAGGGCTTCAGATGGAGAAAACAGCAGAAAAATCCACAAACTGTAACTAACCATGATGTGTATCAGAGAAAAAACAAAGCAAAACATTTTCTGATTACTGTTGTGGGTCAACAGTTGAGAATCTGAAGCATAAGATCTGGTTATAAGCATTCTATGACAAACTGCAAGTGTTATGAACCTACTAATGACAACAAAAGCTTTCTTGTTCACTCCAAGGCCCACAAAAGAAGAAAAAAATAGCAGTAGTAAGAGGAAACGCTTAAATAATAGAAAGACCACAGTAGCATTTATGCCCAAGTCTATCCCTTCCTCTCAAAGAGAAATAAAAACATCTCTCAAGACAGCATTAAAAAAACCCCAAACTGTCTAAAACACTGAAATACCCACAACATGCTTCAGAGGCAACTTACTTCAGAACTTAACTTGCTTCACTTGAACAACCAGAAACTTTTTCTACTTACGACTTTGACCAAGTCTACAAATCCCTCAGCACCACATACCTTTTCTATGTGTAAGTAGCTATTCAGAACAACTAAGTCACCTCTCAGGATGTTCTTCAATAAGGAGCTGCACATACTCAACTTAAACCACATATTACTTTGTTTTTCCAAAGCATGGATCATTTTTATGCCTTATTTTGAGCTGTCTAGTATTTCCATATCTTCTGAAATATGAACAACAGAACTGGACACAGTATTCTAAAACCATACAAAAACCAGATCATGTCTCTGCCTCTATGCTGATGCTGTCCTTTTCACATAGCCAAAGATTAGCAATGGTCTTTTTTCTACCCCACTGTGCCAAGAACTTACAACGACTGTGATGCATAATTTTCTTAATGCATTCCAAGAGTGTTTCTTTATTATTTTCCTTTTAAAATCTCTCATCTATGTGTACAGTCCATACTTGCCTGGATTCAAATGTAATTTGTCCGATTGTAATTGTTTAAACAGATCATTTGGATCAGTATTACTAACTTTCCTTTTCATTAATTCAATGTTTTAATGCCCTCAATGACCATTGTTTAAAATAAATTTCCAACTCTACAAATAATTTGATTTTATCATCAACTACATAGTTGATTAAATTACAGCCTTTCACCAAACATCTTCCCTAGAAAGAAAACCTTTCCCTTAACAGTGGACAGAAGTATAAACACATGTTCATGTCAGTGAGCTAATTATTATCCACTAATGCATGCTATATCAGTCCCCCAAATTGCAGATCTCTCTAACACCTACAGTCTGAGGAGAAACTACCTACCATGAAACCAGATTACCAATTTAAAAAAAAACCCAAAACCAGGAGGGGGTGGGACAGGGAAATGAACCCACAGAAGAGCCTGTAGGATTCTCCAAAATGTGCTAGTCTGTGTCTCCCAGGAAAGTTATCCAAAAAAATGTCAGTCTGAAAAACATCCTACTTCAAACATTCATACACTACACTCAGTGTCATATCCTACAGGAAAGTAAATTATCTAAGAAATTTTGAGTGATAAAATGCTTTTATATCAAATATTGAACAAATACCCTCTGTATTAAATTTTCGAAGCACCACAGTGCTTGGAAGCAGATTATGTTCTGGTTTTGTTCTAAAACATTCTGAAAGAGTGAAGCATTCTTTAATATATTACTTGCTGTTCAAGCCACAAATTCAAGATAATGATGAAAAAGCCCCAAATCCTGAACACTACTCATTAAACCACTTCATTACTTGTCTTTTTACTCATCTGGGCCAGCACAAATAAAATTCATAATAAAATAACAGATATCGACTCAAGAGATCAGGAATTATTTCTACAAAGAACATTTGAAAGTAATTCAATTCTCAGAACATTCTTGGTAAACAAGAATCCAGTTACCACAGCTAAGAAAATAAAATATCAATTTAAAATACTTCCAGGGTAACAAAGCAAAAGAGTAACTAAATACATTGAACATCACACTAAGTCCTTTGAATACTATTTTATTAATTTTGCCTAAAGATGGAAATTACAAATAAACTTATAATAATGAATATACAATGCAACTTTATTTAGGGCTTATGGTTTCAGACACCAAAATTAAACATTCAAATGCTTTTCTGCTTTAAGAATTACATTAATAGTTGTACAAAGGTATGTCAGAAAGTCAGCCCTGACCTAAATTTAATTCCCACTTTACTCAGAGCTGTATTTAGTAATTGTAGGATAACATGATGGCTAAGAGATGAGAGTACTGCCACCTCGTGCCAGGCAAGCTCAAGCCTAACAAAAAAAGACGACTGACTAAAAGTAATCCCAGAACATGTTCTGCCTTTAAATTCTGACAGTTATTTGAGATCAGATCCTTGATCTTGAATTACGAAAAAGCACAATAGTACCAGTCTTTAAGAATGTCTTAAGCCAATTCTTTAAATAAAAATAATCAAACGATCTGTACTTAATCAACATGTCTGGCAGCAACTACCCATTATATTTGCCATTTTAACATCCTGGTTTTAGTCACTCATAACTGTGATAAATTTCAGTCACCAAGGATAAGAGTTTTGGTAATGGCTCTGTTTTAGACTAAGTCTTTCTGGTTTGGTTTTGTTTTTTTGTAAAATACTATGACAGACTGAAAAAAAATAAATAAAAAAAAGTACGTGCATACATCAAATGACAGTTCAAAAGACATGAAACTTCTTTTGAAACACTCTAATACACCCCTACTATGAAAGGGTCATATACTCTTACTGCAAAATATTTAAATACCTGAGTCAACCTAAACTTTAGAAAGTTGAGAAGCATTATGAAAATTCTCAAGTATACTGACAAATGACAAGGAAAAAAATTTCCTCGGTCCATTCTTGTCTAAAATGCATGCACCATGTCAAATATCACATAATAATGTAAAGAACCTAATTTTTTTCCTGTTTATTTACTGATAAATATAATTCTGCTCAGTGACTATTTCAGTGACTCCCCCCCTCATACATAAACTGTTATTACAAGCAATAAAAATGTAAAATAGGAGTACTCACCAATATCATTAGCTAGAGAAGCAGGATCAGAGGCCCCAAGGGTAGCCTCAAACTCCTCCTGAAGACGATAAGCTCTTTGAAGAAGGGATTCAAGCTTATGAATGAATTCAGCACTAATGATATCCTGCAAGAAGATAGACATTAGCAGATTTTCTATTTGTTTACATTCTGTAATATTCCTTTGTAAAATCTAAGGATATTAAGACTTCAAAGAGCAAACTGTGCCACAATAATTTCCTATAAACCACATAAGGATGCTGTCAGATGAATACTTCAACATCCAAAACAACTTCTAACTTTTCTAAACATACACATATTTTATTTAGTGTAATAAAAGTAAAATCTAAATTTAAAAATACTTTAAGATTATCTGTGACATTTACAGCACTAGAAATAACAAAAGCCATACAGGCGTATGTTTATTTCAAAATATTTTTAGCATTTAGTTCATAAGAATAAAGAACTATAAATAAGGTTAAAGCACATTATTTGTTAATATTCATAAATTCATCACTTCTCCCAAGACCTTTATCTTTGGTAAGCAGATATCCTCTCACATAGTCATAAAAGAAAGGGACGACCCGAGAGATTTTGTGCAGAGAACTAATATGCTTGGTAGCTTGATAATACCATCCAGAAGCAAACACTGATGCAACAGCAATTGCCAAAAAATAAATAAAGCTAATTACCCTCCCTGATCTTCCTTCAAATAACCAACAACAACCAAAAAAAACCCAAAAAACAAACAAAAGGAAGAAAGTTAGATATCTTTTAAATGCAATGCCACTAAATTGGACATTTGAATTCATTCTCAGTTTTGGTAATTGAATTAGAAGTTGAAAAGGTTCAGGTAAAAAAAAAAAAAACAACAAACAAACCACAATGAATTGTCAGGGTATCAAAAGTAGACTGTAGATTGAATATACTCACTTCTACACTTTCTTCTGCAATTGCATCTCCTGCTCCCAGCTTAATGGAACCACAACCTGCTTCATCTTCAACTTGCCTGTTACGGAAAGTTAGTGCCTGCTCCCATCGACGCAGTGCTTCTTCAAAAAGCTCCATACCTAGGGGAGATCAGGAATACCTCCACTCAACCAAATACACAGATGCCATATGTACTCAGATTTTAGAGTCACAGGGAACGATGTAGTTTATAAGCAGAATTATAGCAGAGATCTAAGTTTTTTAAACAATAGCAACTCTCAGTCAAAAAAATAAAAAAATCTGTCTTTTTAATAAGATGAAGAAGTTCACAATATGATTAAATCAACAATGCTTAGTGTATTTTTTCCTATATACTTTAAAAAATAATTCTAATGTTCTAATGCTTACTACTACAAATAGAGAAACAGAAAATATTTATTTTAAAAAACTAACTCTAGATCAAGTAAGATTTCATGATTTTATGGCAATGTTCTTAGACACATGCCCACGGGACACTATGAAACACCACCACGACAATACTGTGTAGGTGTCACTTTGCCACAAGACCAAAAAATTATTTACACTGATTGTTGGTAGATGCTGAATATTCTTATTGTAGCTTACCCATCAAATATAAATTTTCAGGTGTGGTCACTGGAATATTCACAAGCTTAATATCATCTTCATCTGCTTTATCCCAGGAATTAGAATTGGCACAAGCACAACTGTGACAAGAGGTGGCACTCTGAACCTTAAAAATAAACACATTTTGAATTGTTATTATGCAGAGTATCCCTAAAACTATATTCCTGCCAGAGCACATTACATCCAAATTATCTACCTAGAAACTATTTTTACGATGTAGTAAGTACAATGGCTTTCTCAGCATCTCTAGTCATCTGTGCAGCTTGCTCAGGAAAGTTGTTTCAGCTCAGTGAAACCATAGGGTGTGTATGCAATACAAGTTAACAGACACTCAAGAACCTTAAAGCACTTGTACTTACCGAGGCCAGACTCTGAACTGAACCGGAGTATTTACTGAAAAGTCCTCCATTTGCATAGATACAAGACTGAGATCCTTTTTCCTTGGCGGAGCTCAGAGAAAGAGTCAAGTTTTGCCGACTACTGGAACAACTAGAACCTAACAGATACACTGATTTTAAAGTTGCTGCAAACTCAAAACATTGTATCTTTTGTTAGCAAGATCGAGCAAGAACTGCATTTAGTCTTTCCAATAAAATTCAGTTTAGAAGCAAAGAACAATTATTCTTTTATTTACAGTTCTATATGAGGAACTACAAATTAGAGCAGTCATTATCTACAACAATAACTATGCATTTGACCATAATTATTTTCCCATCCTATAAAAATTTAAATCTGCTTTTCTCAGTATTGAGGTATGTCCACAAGAACTGCAAATCCCATTGTTAATATACTATTCATAAAAAAAGTTTTAATCCAATTTCATGATTAAAACTTCAGCTTTGAGAACAAGACCAGCTTATGTAATTTTGTTCTTAATTTGCACTTTCTACTTCAACAATTCAAACCTACTCAGCATTAAAGGCAAATACTTTGTTTTACTACTACATACTGTTATGTACACCCATCCTCTCACACCCCTTTTCTTCCTCTCCCAAGACACGAGCAAAAAAAAATGGGGGTTCCTTCACATACCTTTTTCTGACGCAGCTGCTTTCATACACTCTAATACTAGATGACTTGGTTCCCATGGTGGCACTTTCTTATTTTTCTTTCCACGTCTCCTTTTAAAATGATGGGCCAGAAAAATAACAGATACCGCACTCACTGCTGTTACCGTGAAAAGCTTCTTTAACCCCGGGGAAAGCTTTATCTGAAAATAAGAGAGTGTGACTTCATTGGAAATATTTGGTCCTTAATTCCCACCTTTCCCCCTACCCTCCTTTTGGTGTGTTCAGCCTAGGCTATAGCTTGTCTGAGGGAGATAAGAGATGCTGTTCTCACATAGCCTGAGAAACAACCAACTCTGATTAAGGACATAGGCTAACTGCTTCTCAAAATTTGTGATGGCCAGTAGGTGAGAGATTTTACAAAGGGGCCAGTGGGACCAAGTGAGTGGCTGCACCGAGACATATATTGCAGCACCAAGAACTACAAGGTATATTGCAAATCCAGAAACTATGGGGATCTACGCATTTTAATGCCAGGATAATGCAGGGCTTCAATAAATTATCTAATAGCAAAAAAGTACTGAGAAGAAACTCACCCCTCATAACTAGACTATTTTCTTGCACTGTGAAAGAGTAGAGGATCCAAAAGCTAACGTTTGCACACTGTTTCAGTTTGGGAAAAACATACATTTAAACATATTTCTGTAAATAAATATTTGGGTTTTTGGTTATGTCTTATTTTGAACATAGATCAGTCATAGGTTTACAAATATTTAAATTAGCAAATAAGAATCACATACATAAGCAACTGGAATTAAAAGCCATTAACAAAGCTTATGAAGTTCAAATTGACACAATATGCAGGAAGAAGAGAGTTGTTTAACTGGATACTAAAGTCTGCATCCACAAAATCTTTAGGAAAACTAGAGAAACAGACTGCTGGGAAAAAAACAGACCTGAAGCCCTTGGGGCTAATATGGTGTTTCTGTTACACGTTTCCTCAGGCAAGAGAGAGCTGGTCATGCAGGGTACTTCCGCACTCTGGCAGCCCCTGGTTGCTGTGCAATTGGTTAACACTACCAGAGCTGTGTAATTTAAAGTCATTGGAAGCTTTGCTCTGCACCGAGTTTGCAACCACGTCAAACACCTCTGACTTGAGAACCCTGTGCTTAGTGGTACCATATCTTGACCGAGGCCAAAAACCTAGCACTGTACTCTGCGAGGAAAAGGAAATCCCTAAAACACAGCACAAACATGTGCTTATGAGAGACTATTACATTTAACAGAAACCAGTTAATAACCAAATAACTGAGATTGAAACTTTAGTTCTAGTGAGCTTCAAGGTTTTAAAGAACTGTAAATGGATTTAAAAAAAAAAATCTTGTCTGTGCCTCCCAGTACGGTCATAAATAAATTAACAGTAAAACGAAAACCTCTAAGGAAGGGAAAGTTAACAAGTGCACATAATGGAGTTGCACATGGTATTTAAAAAGGATACGCATACACTGCAATGTAAAAAAGAAATCAGTGATCTTGCAGTGAGAATTCTAAAGTATTGTAAATACAGAAAAAATGTGATAATTATCAGATGCAGCCAAGACTGAGATCTCATTCTAGTTTTATAGGCAATAACACTTTGAAAGGCATTTACATGCAAACATGAAAAATTATACAGCTTTTGCTTACAAGCATCTAATTAAATAAAAATAAAATACAGTCATATTAAAGACAAAGATTTTAAAAGCAGAACTTTATTAGGACCTGTTAATATCTAATTTTTAAAAAATATCATTGGCATTCCTACATATAAACAATTTATTTCTTTTAGTTATCCTTGTCAATGATTCACCACTTATTTTAGTTCAGCATTCTCAGTAAACTAAAATCAAGATATTCCTACAAATTTAATTCATATTAAACTCAGAAGAGTGAGTGCAACATTACAATTAAACCTCTAAACATATACCACAAGTGACAATGTTCTGATAATGTATATATTACCTGGTTAAGAGAATAATACCAAGAAAGGGGAAGATGAAACACCCGCAAAGCTATCGTCTTCAGAGAAAATTGTGTCTCAGTAACAGTTTCTTCTGACATGGCTCCTTCTCTCCCATAACCTCATTAAGTGGAACTATCTTGAAAACAGTCACAGATGGTCCCTGGAATACTCTGTCAAATTAAGGATACATACTAAATTATGCAACAGAAGTCCAGGATAGCTTGCTTCTACCACACTGAGTCTCTTCCCTAGCAGGTACATGATGTGTTTGATTGATGTTTCCAAGTAAAGACTTGTGCTTAATGAGAAGACAGCAAATTTGCTCGCTCAGCTTAGTCTCGTTCCTTCCAGCTGCTCTCTGCAGAGACCTGCACACGTATAACCAGGATCTACAGAGGACTCGGTCTGCTTTTATCAGCTGGCAGCTCACTTACTACATCCTCTAAATCAGCCCTCTAAGATCACTGCTGTGGGAAGAACGTATTTCCAGCTAAAAGAGGTAAAAGATTTGAGAGCAGCCAGAAAAGGTGTATCTCATTCAGAGCTTAATTTTTTTGCAGACCCATGATGAGGAACAGACACTACGGCCTGACGTAATCCCCCCATTAAAGCAACACCAACTCCCTGACGCCAAACGCCAGGCGAAGG